TATCTGGTCAGCTCGTTGTTAACTTGTTTTTTCTTCTTAGTCTTTTTGCTTTCGAAGTGCACCCAGCGCCAGAGCTAATTCGAGAAGTGAAGGGATACATTGCTGCTGTGTGAGTGGGCTTGGGCGGGCTAAAAATTTAATTTGGGCTGAAAAAGTTAAAAGCCCCCCGGGCTACAGCCCAGGTACCAATACACTAAGGTCCGTGCCTGTATGTAAAGATGACGGTTTTGTTTTATAAAGGGTCGTCTATTATGAAGTAAAGATGACGGTTTTTTTTTTTAAAAAGGTCGTCTATTATATGTAAAGATGACGGTTTTTTTTCTAAAAAGGGTCGTCTATTATGAAGTAAATATGACGGTTTTTTTTTTAAAAGGGTCGTCTATTATATGTAAAGATGACGTTTTTTTGTAAAAAAGGGTCGTCTATTGTGAAGTAAAGATGACGGTTTTTTTTACAAAAGGGTCGTCTATTATATATAAAGATGACGTTTTTTTGTAAAAAATGGTCGTCTATTGTGAAGTAAAGACGACGGTTTTTTTTAAAAAAGGGTCGTCTATTATATGTAAAGACGACGGTTTTTTTTAAAAAGGGTCGTCTATTATATGTAAAGATGATGGTTTTTTTTTTTTTAAAGCGTCGTCTTTTAAAACACGCTAAAAAATGGCCACTTAAGTGAATTCGCGCTCGACAAATTTTCAAATTTTCACCCGTCTTTAAAAACCTTATCTCTCATTAACAAGCGTCATCTTTTAAAACACGCTAAAGAAAGGCTACTTAAGTGAATTCGCGCTTGACAAATTTTCAGATTTTCCCCCTGTCTCTGAAAACCTTATCTCTCCCTCCTTGAAACCCTCCTGCACTCTCTAAAACACCCTCATGAAACTCTCTACAAAATCATCAAAAAATTGATATCAATGAAAGAGTTGAGAGATTTTCGCAGATCCATAAGATGTAGAGGGAGGTTCTATATTTGAGAATCAAAGCTGGTTGAAAGGTTTGATTTGAAAG